GGTTGGACTAAAGTAAAGAGAAGCAGTCTTTCCACACAATGACCGATGGACTCGGCGTGTTAGGGGAAGATAGCAGGCAGGATTGGGATGCAGAGCTCGACCTCGGGCTTCCTAACAGATCCCAAAGTCATAGGCCGTGCTAGGCCACGACGAAAAAAGAGACAGGATATAAAGCGTCACAGGGCGAAACAAGCTGCGCAGGAAAAGGGAAGTAGATCTGGTATGTACCTGGCGGCAGTGGCGGGGGCTCCAGTGGATGAATCCTCAAGAGGGTCCTGGCGGTGAAGGTTGGGCCTTGTTCTGGCCATAAGTTGATGTTAACCAGAGCTGGACGAAGAGGGCTCGCTCGTCTGTCGACCGTTTAACCCGCCATCCGTGACTCAGAAGGTAGTTGACCGAACGTGGGCAGGAAGGTGACACTGCGTATTTTCCGGTTGTCCGTTTTGGGGGGGAGAGGATATGGAAAGATAAGTCAGGGGACAACAACTAGAAAAGAAAACGAAGAAGGAATAAAGATATGTAAAGTAAAAGGAAAGCAAGTATCTGAATGAATTAGTGATGAGTAGCAGACAAAAACTGGGATAAAAGCAGTGGTCGTGAACGTCGTAGTGGCGATGGAGAAGGAAAGTGGAATGAAGAATGAATGAATCAATTGGGGGGGTTCGAGAGTTGACGTGGTAGTGGTAAGCCGTGGTGACGCCGGCCTCAGGAAGCAACTCCGGAGAGCGTCAGACGGCTATAGTGCAGCAGCCCCATCAGCCACCAATAAGTACTACTACTAGTACTTACTAGTACTAGATATCACAATAAGAAGTATCACAACAAATACTTCTTCCTTTTTTCCCTTCCTTTATTGTTTTTTGCTTTTTACCCTTATACATGCCTATTAAAATTTCAATTTCAAATTAATAAACTCCGATTCTACAACCTTTCGGATCCAACCGTACCACACTCATTTAGTCATGCATATATAATCATTTTTTAGTAATTATATCACTGGGTGACATCGACACTACTCGATCAAACCTAAGACGGACATCCAACACCAACATGCCTCATCTGCATCCAATCAGTGCCACAGCTCATCCCTGTTCCTATGGGAACCTATTTTCTTAGCTAGAAGACTGTACCAATACCATGCCCTCAGATCTTGGAGTCCCGAATATTGCCAATATTATCCACTAGAGGCCATGCCCATCCAATAAATGGTAAAATGTTAATATCCGAACGGACTGAGCCTTCTTAACAGATAAATTTACTTAACCCCCCAGCTACGGATTGGAGGATATATTGATGGTACAGTCTCCAATCCCCTTTGAATCTAGTATTTTTAAGCATCATCCAGAGTAAACTTGACAACCGTGTATATGTCCCTTATATATATGTACATCCAACCCCTCACATTGTGGAGGTACTAGCTACTACCCTGTCCCCAAGGTTGATTTGGATTGACAAATTTTACAATATGTAGCCGGAGGCTGAAATCACGAATTAGTAGCAGGCCTTCACGTACTATATATTGACAATTTCTTATCAGGATTGGTCCATCCTCACCAGAAGGTCCTAACTAATAGCTAAACTTTTCAGTAGTCTTCCCGAACTATCAACTTCGGGCTAACCCGGTTTCTCGAAAACCAAACACAACCTGAAGCTACTGTCAGGTCAGCTGTCTTTTTCGGACCGAAACACTTGAAACAATGTCCTGAAAGGTTTTGCAGTAGGGCTGCCACTCCGCCGAGGATGTGTCAGTCTTGTCATTTGCAGGCTGATCACGCTGCACCGGGATGAAAAATGCATGTATACTTTCATAAAGCCTCAGGCATGGATAGGCGGGTTCCCCAAAGCCCGAGAAGTGTAGTATGTCATTGACCATGCCGAGTAAGCACTGAAACTTGCTAAGCTCTTGTGCATATCCTGTCTGTCACTTGAAGCATGTAAGGAATGCAGTTGGTAACAGCATCAGGAAGTATATGCCAATTCTAACGAGCGAATATGCCTCATAATGGTTGCAGCAATCTATTCAGTAAAGCTGCACAAGAAAGATACCGCGTTCGGATACAGCTTATAGTTTCACATGGCGTTACTTTACAGGGACAAGAGCGGATTGGCGACAGAGCAATATTCAGCTCGGTTAGAGGACCCATGATTGATCGACAGTGGCTGGCTGAACCTACGGAGTATTGTTCGAAAAATGGATATCCTCTCAACATACTCCGTAGTGGGAATGAGTTATTTTGTAAACAGCAAGTGTTACGGCATACCCAGTACTTCTGCCCAATCGATACATTAGATTACATCCAAAGAATAGGGTTCACTATCGACAAGGCTGATTTGGCATATTGTGGATAAATCCACCAAGGGTACGGAGTACAAGTATATTCACGTGCTCAACTAACTGAAGGAGAATTCTGGAAACAATTGCGAAATTCAAGCAATGAATGGGAATCAGGAACACTTCTAGTAGTACGAAGTAGTATAATCTAGACCGGTCCCCGGTGAGAGAATCGGAAGTCTCCAGTTATTATTATTATTAATTCCAGAGATTCAGATACTCTCGGTGACAGTGTGCGTACAGTTGCCTAATCCTGCCTGGGCCGCTTTATTGGTAAATACATACCAGTAAGTTCCCAGGTGGTACTCAGTCAACTTCAGATCAATACCAAACCAGTACAGAACAGAGTTGGAGAAATGATGTGATCAGTCGCCGAGGTTCTGATTTGCCCCTCAAGTTTATGTTCCTCAATTCTTTTGCTTCCCCCGCCGGATACATACCAATACGGTAATAAATTCCTTTCCCCGCGCGGGTCTGACTAAACCACCGGCAAATGATTTTCTGAAAGGCTTTTGGTTCAATCGCCTTCCATCATCCATTCAAAAGTCCCCTTCTTCTTCCTTGCCATCTCTTTCGAATCTTTGGTACTCCTTATCCACCCCTTCCCATACTGCGCTACACACGAACACCCATTAGAGTCCCAGGTTTATCGTTTTGAGATCTCTAACTCGATCCGCAACCATGACTGACATCACTGGTGGGCATGGGGAGGATGTCCATCAGCCCCCCGCCCATATTCCCCCGGCACCCATGGAGGACTACCAGTTTCCCGAACTCCGCTTGAAGCGCAAGATGGATGATCCGGAGAAGACTCCCTTGCTACTAGTTGCTTGTGGTTCTTTCTCGCCCATCACGTACTTGCATCTGCGTATGTTCGAAATGGCAGCAGATTACGTCAAATTCAGCACGAACTTCGAACTCATCGGCGGATATCTTTCTCCGGTGTCGGATGCCTATCGCAAGGCTGGTTTGGCCGCTGCAGAGCACCGGTAAGAACATACTCCTTACCATCAGTTTCCCAGGCGTTTCCTACTTTGTTTTCTGTTTCGCCGGTTTATTTATACCCTAAGAAACACTAAGCTGACCCGAACCTGTCGGATTTAGAGTTGCTATGTGCCAACTTGCAGTGGACCAAACCTCCGATTGGTTAATGGTTGATACATGGGAACCAATGCAGAAGGCATACCAACCAACTGCTGTCGTGCTCGATCATTTTGACCACGAGATCAACACTGTCCGAGAGGGAATTGAAGCCGCAGACGGCACACGGAAGCACGTGCGCATCGCTCTTCTGGCCGGAGCTGATCTGATCCATACCATGTCGACCCCGGGGGTATGGAGTGAAAAGGATTTGGATCACATTCTTGGTAAATACGGTGTACGTACAATATGCCTACATTCCATGAGTCATGGACCCCGCTAACGTTGCCCTCTAGTCTTTCATTGTTGAACGCAGCGGAACAGACATCGATGAAGCGCTTGCTGCCCTGCAGCCCTGGAAGGACAATATCCATGTGATTCAACAGCTGATTCAGAACGACGTCAGTAGCACCAAAATTCGTCTTTTCCTTAGACGTGAGATGAGCGTCCGCTACTTAATCCCGGTGCCGGTCATCCGCTATATCGAACAGCACCGCTTATATGAGGATGACAGCACGACAGCCAATTCCACATCCGACAAAGGCAAGGGGAAACAGGAGCCTAGCAAGTCGGGTTGATACCCTCAGACCCTGCAATCTTGTTAGTCCGTTAGCCACGCATATGAGTACAAATCAGCCCCATTCTGCTATCATGCGGGGGCAGAGCACAGCTACTGCGAGCTTAGCGCGCTATGAGAAAATCCTTTGTTCATTGTTCTGGGGTTACAATGGCAGCCACGAGCGACCCGTGCCCGTGCCGTCACATTCATTGCCCAGAGGTGCTACTGTCCACCTCTCTTCTCCCTTGCACCGCAGTCCTTGGATACTTGGGGGCGCTCTTAGCTGGACATTTTCTAGTCGCGGGGCCAAGTTGGACATGCCTGCGGTGTCTGGTCTCTTTGCCTAGTGAACCACTTCTCCCACTTCCTATAGCTGCGGTCTTGAACCAAAAAACCCCCGTTAATTTTGGCTGTATCCAGATTTTGTTCTCGGGAAGGTGTCACGAATAATGTGCTGAACATACCATAGAGTTTTTGTCTTCATTGGTTGTTCTTTATCTTTACTTTGTTTCTTTGTTTCTTTTTTTTTTCGGTTTTTTCTTTATACCCCTGACACGACTCCTGTACTGATAAATCCTTGATAGATCATGGTAGATCTAGTTCCTGACAATAAATGGACACCAATACATTTATACAGTTCATAAATATATACTTGTAAATTGCTCAGAACACGGCGATAGCATAGCCTTCGAAATATGGCTGAAAGTACAGCGATGACGCAATGTATAAAATTGCAGGATATATACCAGCATGATTTTCGGCAACAAAGACCCAAAAGAAATCTATAATAAGGGCAAAAGATGACTAGATCTATAGTCTGAATAAACAAACAATCCAAAACAGGGCGTTATTCATAAACATCATATAACAGCAGACAAAGACCCATGCCCCCATCAAAACCACATACATATATATGTACTGGAGGAGGCAAAGCCAAACCGCCAGAGTGTAAACAGGCAGAGTAAGGAATTAGTCACAACCATCCCACAGATCTTCCGCTTCAAAGAAGCCCAAACAAGCATCGGGATTCTCGTCCTGCATGACGGCTATTACGGACCCCGCAGTAGCGGTAGATTCCGAAACTAACCGACGTGCATCGTTGATGGACGTCGAGCTGGGGAGCCGTAGCCAATCATCCCGGGACACGGAAAACGGGAGCCCGAGAGTGGCTAGCGCGGATGTATCCATGTCTACATAGTTTGTTTGTGAGAGGGACCGGAGATGTCGGGGTGGAATTATTTCGGAAGGGGACAGATGGACCCAGGACTTGGCGGTGGGGTGTTGGATGGCTGTAAGCAGGATATCTAGAAGACGGATGGTGCCCGTTGAGGTAGATACTGTTGGGATTTGGTTGATGGGGACGAGCTTGTCGATGATACGCGGGGTCTCCTCTAACTGGGGGAGCGAGGCGACGGATTGCTGTTGACTGGAGAGGTCGTCTGAAGTAGTGGAGGGGAATGATGCGGTCGACATGCTCATTGGTGTGAGGACATTTGATGCGGCGCCAATGGCGCCGCCGGGGTGGAAACTTTTAAAGATCTCTGCCGGGCCTCTTCCTGAAGATGTGTGTAGTCGTCTGGCGGTGGCGATAGCCAAGGCATCTCCCAGCGACAGGGCTACCGTCGTAGACGACGTTGGGGCAGATACGCCGATGGATAGCTCCTCGTCCTCGTGAATGGGTGCTGGTAGGAGGATGCCCATGTCGGACGGTTGAAACGACAATAAGGGGCATGTGGACGGGTGAAGGTGAGAAGTTATAGCGATTATTGGGACAGTTGCGGGGATATGAGGGAGCAGGAGCAAGAGCTCAGGGGTGCGCCCCGAGAACGAAATCAACAACAGGGTATCTTGCTGTATACAAGTATCAATAAGCTTGTTCATCTGGTTCACAATTATAATTCGACACTCACCGGTCTAATCATGCCCAGGTCTCCATGCAACGCTTCCGTTGGATGTAAGAATGCGCTGTAGATACCCAGGCTATTCATTGTCGCCTCGAGCTTTTGGGCAATCTTCCCACTCTTTCCTACACCACAGCATACCAATTTTCCTCCACCCCGCACACTGCGGGTAATCTGGCTTACAGCCCGTGCAAGACTCTCTTGCGCCAACGCATTTGTTTCGTAAAGACGTTCCAAGTGCGCTAGGGCGGCGCGCTCAGTAGAAATGACATGAATGGCGGTGGATACCGACGCATCGGCAGGGCCATCCTTTGCAGTTGATAATACAGGATCAATCACGTCTGGAGGAGTCAAGGATAGAAGCGAAAGCTCGTCGCGAGCGAGGCGGTCTTTCTTTATCATGGTGGGCACGGAGGGGTCCGCGGGGGACGATAGCGGGATCATCGGCGATTGCTGCTGAAGGTGCCCCATGGCACAGAAACCATTCTCCTTGGGAACTAAGAAGGAGAGATCGTCTTCTCCCGGGAGGGGCCTGGGAAAAGAGGTCCCGGACGAAATCCCGGGGAAGCAAAGGAATTTAGAAAATTTTCGATGGCGCGCGGGGGGGGGGGGAAGGAATAGTAAGGGAAGTGGAGGAGAATTGGTCTCGGCATGAAGTTTTGACTAATTAACCACTGGCTGAACTACATCGGAGATACTAGGTAGTTGTAAGTAAAAGTACACTTCGGACTTCCTTTGATTTAACTGCACGCTAACGCTTTCCATCATTCTCCTTACACTCCCCACTAAAGAAGAAACAATCCCCTCCATTACTAAAGTACGCCTTCCGAGTCTCGGCTCCAATAACATCCGTCATGACACCATCGCCACCTTCGCTGACGCTTTTGCAGATCCCGTACTGTACAAAATGGTTGATTGTTACTGTTACATTGTCATCTAGGAGATTAGTACTATACAGATATTTTTCTTCCCAATCGTTTTTCGCCCATCATGTAGATTTCAAGCCTTGGAAAGAGGCTTAATACCCTTGTGAATAGCCGCAATCCCCCCAGTGAGATTCTCGAATCCCCGGCCAGGGATCATGAAACCAGCCTTCTGAATCATACCCCGGAATTCTTCCTGGCTGGGGAATTTCTCAATACTCTCCACTAGATACTGGTAGCTGTCCCGATCTCCCGCCACCAGTTGGCCGATCATCGGGATGGCACTGAAACTCCACTGCTTGTAGACCGCATTGAATACGCTGTTCTCTACCTTGCTGAACTCCATACAAGCGAACACACCACCGGGCTTCAACACCCGGAATGCTTCGTTTAGAGCGGCCTGCTTGTCCGTGAAGTTGCGGATGCCGAAGACAACCGTGTAGAGGTCGACTGAGTTATCTGGAATGCTGGGCATGTGCTGGGCATTTCCCTGCATAAAAGATAGACGGTTCGTATTGTAGTAAGGGGTCTGGATGCTCCGCTTTTTGCCCTCCGCAAGCATATCCGGATTGATATCAGCAATTGTGACACGGGTCTCATGGTCGTGGTTAATGTTAGTCGCGTGGTCCAGCATGCGAAACGCGATATCGCCGGTCCCGCCCGCGATATCCAGGATATTCCAGCCTTTTCCTGTTGTGTCGGTGTTGCGAGATGGTAGCGCCGAGCCAGGGTTCAGGGAGCGAACAAAATGATCTTTCCACAGGCGGTGGATTCCGAGTGACATGAAATCGTTCATAGCATCGTAGGAAGAAGCAACTGAGCTGAAGACCGCTCCAACTGTACATTACCGGCGTTGGTTGGTTAGTCTTTTATCCAATTGTTGGAGAGGTATATAGAAGCATACCCATAGACTCCTTCTGCGATTCAGGAACGTTGCTAAAGCCAAAATGGGTCATTCGTTCATCTTGGTTGGCCTTGTTGGAGTCCGCTTGAGCTCGCTGCGAACAGGAAAAGCAGCGGTAGGGGACCTCGGGAATGGTCGCTCTCCGACGGGCATTATAGCCCAGATTCCTCCATACCGATCGCGACAGCATGATGAAGTGTTAGTTATTCAAGACCTGCAATTGAGGTTAGTTGAAGGATAAAACGGAGATGGAAATATTGCGCGGAGCGGATATCAAGATGAGATTCCCGGTACTGTGCTTTTTCTGCCGCCCGACTCTTCACCGCTAGCCTTTTTCCAATACCATGGAGCACTAGTCCTGTTCGGCACGGATAAGTGGAGGACAGTGACCCGTGACCGGCTCATCGTAACCTGACTACCAATTGTCTCTCTGTGGGGCTAATGATGTTCTAAACAGTACTTGTCTCTATACTAATCTACTTTCGACAGGCTGCATATCATCTAGGAGATACACTCATAACTTATGACCTTCTTGATCATATCCTTAAGCTCACATTAAGTTCAGGTTCGACGCCGGTAATATTAGCAGGATACAAATATCCACCGCTATTGACCAGCCAAAGTTGTGGTATCGAAGATAGAAGAAACCTTCGAGGTACGTAGGAGACCCGGGGTAAACAGGTACACCCACTTTATATTGAGTATATTCAATATCCATGCCCCAGTGAAACAGGTAGACTAGGACACGACTCGCTCGCTTACATGCCACTCAATCGTTCTTCGCAACCCTTCTCGCAAGGGGATTGTTGGGCACCAGTCCAACACGGCTTTGGCCAGCGAGATCTGCGGCCGACGAACAGCGGGATCATCCGCCGGGCGTGGATGGTAAGTAATATTGACCTTAGGCTGATTGGTCATTTCGGCCACAAGACCAACTGTCATTTCTGCTAGTTGTTGGATAGTAAACTCCCCATCATTTCCGATATTGACAGGACCCTCACTGTAGTCACTGTTCATTAGGCGATAGAGTCCTTCCATACAGTCCGTGACATATTGGAAAGACCGCGTTGCAGATCCATCGCCGGTGATCTTCAGGTCGTCACCGGACAATGCAGCAACGATAAAGTTTGACACGACCCGACCATCGCTACCATTCATGCGAGGGCCATATGTGTTGAAAATACGAGCAATACGGATATCGGCGCGTTGCTGTTCACGGTAAGCATAGCACAGTGCTTCTGCTACCCTCTTCCCTTCATCGTAGCAAGATCGCTTCCCGAAGGGGTTGACATTTCCCCAGTACGTTTCGGGTTGGGGGTGAACTAGGGGATCACCATATACTTCTACTTATGTATTAGGTATAAGCGAAGCCAGGGGCTATTGGTGTTTCAGCTTACCTGATGTGCTAGTATGCAAGACGCGGGCGTTTTTCGATATAGCTAAGTCGAGCACGTTTTGTGTTCCCTGGAAGCATGTCCTTAGTGTTGAGATCGGGTCTTTTTGATACTGGATCGGACTGGCTGGGCATGCGAGGTTGTAAATCTGATCGATCTGGCTCACATCCTCCAAGGGCATTTGGATATCTTGACTGTAAAAGTCAATACGAAGAGATCCGACGTTTGTTTGGTGGTATCTATCTTACTTGACCAATTTAAAGTCGGGATGGCTCCTTAGGTGGTCTAGGTTCCGGGGAGAACCTGTTTGGAAGCTATCCATTCCAATGACTACATGGCCCTTTGCAAGGAGGTAATCTGCGAGGTTGGACCCGAGGAACCCCGCAGCCTGTCCGCGTTAGCCCAGACCTTTCTTAGATGGCCGCGCAAGGAAGCTTCCTTACCCCCGTGATGAGGATTTGCAGCTTGCCGTCGTGACTCGCCATATCATATATCATATAAAGCAGCATATATTCTCCAACGAGCATGGGTCACTTTTGAATGGCAAGCTTAAGTATTTCGTAGTGGTTCATCATCTGCGCTGACCCACCCGATCAGCCCCGACAAGCCCTAATCTCGTCGCGCATGAAGATAACCTTGGAAGTGGTGGTGGAACACTCCGCTACCATCCAAGAACAGCCTAGTGTGACTGAAGCCTGAACCTCAGCTGCCGACATGGTGGAGCTGAGCAATGTCGATCGAGACGGATGTCGTAATTCTCAGGCTTTCATGGTGTTGTGGTGTGGCACTGTGTGCGCAGTGGCGGGCTGACAATCTGCAAGATGACAAATCTCAAACGAAAATCCCAACCACAAGTGTCGGTAGTTGGCCTTTTTAAGTTCAACCTTGAATGGTGTGTTCTTTGCCGTATTCGGCAACAATTCATCAAGAGTGGGCCTCACGCTCAGCTGCAATCTCGATTTCCCCACATATATGACGGAACATGGAAGAACCCAGGGACACAGCTAGAATGAAGCGAGCGATATTTTCTCCCCGGGGTGTTCAACCAAGAACCAAACCACTGCCAGACCCAGATGCTTCGCCGTCATGATTCGAAATGTGGCATGTATAGGTGCTGGATTCGTGGGTGAGTGGATGCACTAGGTGCGCGTGATGTATTCCTATCTGACGTTCTAAGGGGGTCCTCTGGCCACGGTTATTGCCTGTCAATGTCCGGACATCCAGGTAACTGTTGTGGACAAAAACAAGGAGCGGATTGACGCTTGGAATACAGCGACCCCTCCACTATATGAACCAGGCCTCGAAGATGTCCTATCCCGCGTTCGGCAGCGAGATGCCCAGTGCAATCTAAGGTTCTCGACAGACATCGATCGTGCCATCCGAGAGGCAGAGCTTATTATGTTGTGCATTGATACCCCTACCAAGGGAAATGGCATTGGGAAAGGGATGGCATTGGATCTGGCCAACACGCAGGCCGCTGTCAGGACCATAGCGCAGGCTGCAGAGTCGGACAAAATCATCGTGGAGAAGTCAACCGTCCCGTGTGGAACAGCAGACAAGATTCGGGACTTGGTATGGGCATTTCTTTTCTGTCTATCTTGAAGTGAATACTAATGACACCATGGGCGCAGCTCGAATCTTGCTCTAAGAATGGCTGCCGGTTCGAGGTGCTTTCTAATCCTGAATTCCTAGCTGAAGGAACCTCAATCACAGATTTATTCTATCCGACAAAAGTTTTGATCGGTCACCGACAAACGCCATCATCGCGCAAAGCAGCTGAAGAGCTGGCTGCGATATACTCCCGGTGGGTATCACCCGAACTTATAATCATGATGGACCGCTGGTCATCCGAACTATCCAAACTAGCCGCCAACGCAATGCTAGCGCAGAGAATAAGCAGCATAAACTCGTTAAGCGCGATATGTGAAGCGGTCGGCGCAGATATTGACAGCGTGAGTGCTAGTTGCGGAATGGATCCTCGCATCGGAAAGGGGATGTTGAAGAGCACCCTCGGATGGGGAGGCGGATGTTTTGAGAAAGATATCTTATGTCTCGTCTACCTGGCTCGCAGTCTAGGTCTCACTCCCGTGGCAAATTATTGGGCTTCCGTTATAGAAATGAACGAGTACCAGAAGTCGCGATTCTTTATGCGCATTGTCTCGTCTATGCATGGAAGTGTGGGGGGAAAGTCCATAGCGATCTTAGGGTTTGCCTTCAAGAAGAATACATCGGACACGAAGAATTCTGCTGCCATTCCTCTTGTGCGAAACTTGCTCCAAGAAGGCGCCCTCGTCTCCATTTATGACCCCATGGTTCCGCCGGATCGCATCCTGATAGATGTGAGTGCAGCCGGTAGCCATTCCGCATCTGTCCAGGTGTGTCCATCGGCGTACGAAGCATGCAATGGCGTCGATGCAGTAGTTATTGCGACCGAATGGGACGAGTTTCAAACCCCGATCCCGACAGGGGATGTGCGAATGACCACGGCCAAGGATACCAGAATCGAGGAGCCCCAGTCCCCACCAAGTACACCAGGCGATAAAGGGAGAAGACTAGATTGGGAATGGATTATGAATCGTATGCGTTCACCCAGGTTTATTTTTGATGGGAGAAATATACTGGACAGACAGTATCTAGAACAGCTGGGGGCTCGGTATATTGGTATTGGTAGTGGATCAGAGTGGGGATTTCTGGAAAGAGCGACCCATTCTTTATGAATTTATGAATTAGAGCTTCATCAGAGCGTTTAGTAATCTATATCTCTATTTTACGATCATTTCGGTGTACGGCTCTGCAGCTTGTATATACCTCTAGTACTTACTACGTGTACTACCGTTTTGCGGGCATTGACATATAGTAGGATGGATACCAGTAATGCCTCAGGCCGAGGTATATAGTTCTTGCCTAATGCCAACCACGTACATCTCATGCACCCTCATTGAAGGGGTACGCAACCATTCATTCTTAGGGTGGGATGAATGGAACATATGCCTATTGGACTCGGCATCAAGAGTGGATTTTCGCGATTGTTGCAGGTTCAGGTCATACTCAGCATTGAAGACATCGAAAAACATGAAAAGGTGGGCACCTGATGAGTCCAAGAAAGCTCCAAGCATTCAGGCTATTATTAGACTATGGATGCAGTTCCAAGTGTGGACCACATGACTAGTTTCCCTTCCTGGCCAGTTCTTCCCTATCCTTCTCCCGCTCACTTTTGATGCCCGTAGTTCTTTCCTTACATGCCACATACTTTATCATACACTTTCTTTCAACACGCCCAAATATCCTCATGGTCCCCACGAGGAAGACTCTGACAACCTTCAGCCCTGTTGTCTTTTTCGTCATTAACCCCCCGTTCGACGACCACATCGCCATGCAAGCAGTATGCCCACTCCATGTCCCAGGAGAATGGGCTGGGTGTGGAAAACAAGGCTTCGATTGATTCTAGCGATCGATTGCAAGTTTCTGGATAAAAAAGATATACTATGGGAATCCAGAGAAGATTTAAGCCAGCAAGGAGAAAGTAGCTCCGACTCTTGATGCTGTCGAACATGATGGGATTGACGAGAGTGGTCATTCCAACGCCAATCGCCCAGCCCGTTATACCGAAACCGTTTCCTTGGGCTCGCAGGTCTGAAGGGAAAATCTCCGTGGGTATGAGGAAAGCTACTGTGCCCCATGTTGCTGCATAACTGTTATCCGCTTGTTAGCCAAACAAGCTATGCGCCACTTGAAGATGTGGCGCACTTACCCCAAGTTGAAAAGGAAGAGCATCGCGACAGCCCCTGGCGCATATTGGATTGCTTTGTCTGGATGATGAAGAGAACCTTCGTATAGCGATCCAGCCTAGAGAGTATTAGCCAGGGAGCTTACGGAGGATACATTAATAACAAGGAGACTACCTACAATTATTTCAACAGCGAAAAGCACTGCAGAGCCAAGCATGAGGCACCTGCGTCGACCAAGGCGATCGACGATTTGCCCACTGATGATGGTCCCGATGATGCCGATCGTATTCAAGCCACCAGCTAACCCATTCTGTTTGGTTTCACTATAACCGGCCTGGCTGAGAAGCACGGGCGAATACGCCGTGACAGCCTACGATGTCAATACCCTGGAATAAACTACCGCAACTGTGCTAGAAGCCTAACTCACTGTGATGCCAGTCCAAGAGGCCATGATCTGGAGGAATAAGCTAAGCCAGGCACGGCGACCCAAATTCGCACCTGGTCTGCCACCTTTGCCGCAAAGGATCATGACGAATTGAATTGGGGAGCTCGGTCTACTATCTTGTGCTGTAGCAACAATCTCGTGATATTCCCGGTCGATCTCCTTCTGGCTGGCTTTATGCCGCCGAATACAGTTCAACAGATCGCGAGCCTCGTCATTTCGTCCGACCGAGGCAAGGTACCGTGGGCTGTCTGGCAATGCTTTGATGCAGATAGTAAGGATAAGGGCCGGGATGCATTGAAATGCTAGTAGGAAGCGCCACCTGAAGTCCGAGTAACCGTTATTGATGAAAGAGAGGCCAAAAGACAGCCAGTAGGCAACAGAGATACCCAGATCTAACGACTATCAATGAATGAAGTTCCAGGGAGACCATTGGCATGCTGCTGTACTCACAATTCGCAATAAAAACATAGCCAAGATATCCGCCACGGTGTTCGGCCGAAGAAATTTCTGACACAAACACCGGGGTGATTCCAGTCAGTGCTAAAATGAAAGGGTCAGATTATATCAACTCCTGGATACAGGTAATGCCATTGGCTTACCACCCGTACCAATTCCCGTCACCACGCGAGCAACTAGCATGAACTCCGAGCTTTGAATGGAGGCTTGTAGAGCACCCCCAATGAGGGCAAAGACTGACCCGAACAGCAAGCCATTGATACGACCAATGCAATCAGCAAGCCATCCACCGGCAAAGCAGCCAAAGATACATCCTAAGTAGTATATACTGACCAGGCCTCCTTGATGCGTAGTGTCAGTCACAGTGCCGTCGGGCCTTCCTATCCCGACTTCTGTCACGTACGTCGGCGAGGCATTTACACCTCCCATTACACCCTGATCATAGCCTTCGAAGAATATAGAAATGAGGGAAAACGTTTGGATTGCAAGATTAATCTGACGTGGTGAGAGTTGTCGCCAGAGTGTTGTGTAGCCCATTGTGAGATGCCCGATGACCCTCTAAACAATCCATGAAGCAGTAGCAGGGTAAAGCAAACCAATTTAATCAAACCCCAAGAAACGTATATTTGCAACTAATGGCGCTTAACACTCCTCGCTTGATCAAGCGCAAGACCAGTTCACACGCTCAAAACTTGTGATGAGCTCGTGCCATAAAACCTCGGAGTTCATCCCTTGTATCGCTCAGCCGCGGTGGCTTTAACTCCCTGCAGCTTTCTCGCAGATCCTATGCGAACATTTACGTGATTGGTTATACTAAACTAACCATGCAGCATGAACTGATCTTCGGCTCCGCACATAGCGGGGAAGTTGGTGAATTGACCATCGTGGTCGCTTGTTTATTTCCAAACTGTTGTGCTTCCAGGGCAATAGCTGAAAACCGCTAATCGAGCATTCCAGACACCAGTAGAGGGCAGCATCATGAGCACTCCGAGTTATGCGTTAGACCTGACGGTCCTTGGGTTAAACAGTGGCACGTCCATGGTAAGTACAGTGGGAGAAGGAAAGTAATAACGAGTTTTACATCACTCATGCTCATACTCCTACCGGCAGGATGGTATTGACTGCGCTCTATGCCATTTCCGTCAGGAAGACCCCGAATCTCCCATGCATTTTGAGCTCCTGAAAGTGAGTAGCAGAAGCAAACCTTGCCGCTATGGATAAGAACCCACAGTATGGCACTAGTACGGGGAGATTCCACTCGAGCCTACCGTGAAGAAGCGGGTGATGAATATGATCCTCCATAACAAGACATCTCCGTCGGAATTATCAGAAGTGAATGTTATCTTAGGCGAGACTTTCGCAGACGCCGTCAAGCAGTTCTGCCAGAGCTACAATGTTGATATATCCACCATCGACGTCCTGGGGTCTCACGGCCAGACAATATGGCTTTTATCTATGCCAGAAGAAGGCGAGACCAAAAGCGCCCTTACCATGGCCGAGGGCTCATTTCTCGCCGCTCGCACAGGCATTACCACCGTGACGGACTTTCGAGTCAGCGACCAGGCTGCAGGCCGTCAAGGCGCCCCGCTTATTGCATTCTTTGATGCCCTTCTTCTACACCATCCTAATAAGCTTCGCGCGTGTCAGAACATTGGCGGCATTGCCAACGTTTGCTTCATCCCGCCCGATATCGAAGGCGGGGTGGATCAGTGCTACGATTTCGATACAGGCCCCGGTAACGTGTTCATAGACGCAGTAGTCCGGTACTATACCAGCGGCAAACGCGAATATGATAAAGATGGTGAGATGGGTGCGCGTGGCAAAGTCGACCAGGCCCTTGTCGATGAATTTCTGCAACATAAGTACTTCCGCCTCGACCCACCCAAAACCACCGGCCGAGAAGTCTTCCGCGATACATTAGCCTTCGAATTAATCGAAAAGGCCGAGAGAAAAGGTCTTTCCCCAGACGACGTTGTGGCTACCATTACTCGCATCACAGCTCAAGCGATCGTCGACCATTACAAGCGATATGCACCTAAGCACCTGGAGATCGCCGAGGTATTCATGTGTGGCGGCGGTGCTTACAACCCTAACATCACATCTTATATTCAGGAACATTACCCCAACACCAAGATCCTGTTGTTGGATGAGGCCGGTATCCCGGCTGCCGCTAAGGAGGCTATTACTTTCGCATGGCAGGGCATGGAGGCCATTGTTGGACGTCCTATTCCTGTCCCAACGCGCGTGGAAACACGCCAGGAATATGTCTTGGGTAAAGTGTCGCCCGGAAAGAACTATCGGAAGGTTCTCCGGAAGGGCATACTTCTTGGAGCTGGGCGCGACCATCTACCACCGGTGAAGGAGTTGTTAAACTATGTGGACGGGAAGGTCTTCGATAATAAATGGTGAAGAACACCAACCATGATGGTATCTGTCAAGTGTACACATGGTTTCCACGAAATGTTACTTACAGTATTCACAAGTGATTGAACGTATGCCCCTCCTATTATCTTATCCTGGAATTAGTGGCTACATGCCTAAGCTGCTAGTAGTTCATCCTACTTCTCAAGCGTCTGATTCCACAGACTCTGCACCGTAACCCCCTGCACCCACTTCCCATCGGTATTATCCTCCTGAACCGTAAACCCAATTTCCTTCTTCTGTCCAGGAAGCAACACGAAAGCATTCTCATCAAAATAACCCACCACATCAGCCGGATAGTCGAGCCAAGTGTATAGCGAGACACCCGATTTAGCTTCTACCGTGAAAGTCTTCGACTTGGAATCATACGATAGTTCAAGTCCGGGATCCACCAAGGCGAGATCCTTGGGGAAGACTGGTGTGAAGTGGTTCTGGTGGGTGAATGTCGTATTCTCGTCTGAGTTGGGGAGATGTCCCTCGCCCGACAGGGAGAGGACAAGTATGGTATCCTTCGGATTGGAAAGGGTAAGATTCTTTATGTTGGTACCATATATCTTGGTGGTGTTGAGCGCTCCGACGTTGAAGGGAACAGACCCCGGTGTGCCTGCATTGTGGGGGAGAGGCTTGCCTGACAAGTCCAGCCAGGTTAGATTTACTTTGCCCTTTGCTGATTCCCACAGATCTGACGTTACGTAGAGGTCCAGGTCACCTGTGGTGTAGTTCCAGAATGGCGAGACGATAATGGGTTGGTAGATGTCTCTGGAGACGTAGTGGAGGACCTTCCATCGTCCGCCGTATTCAATGCCGGCCCATGATGGTGCTTGCCAGATATCTTCCAATTGCCAGTAGAGAGAGCCGAGCTGTCGCTCGGGCATTCCGCTGCCACGGCGATAAAACTGGATTTCGGATTTGTACATGTCGGCTTGGAAGAGTTGGGTTGCGTGACACCAGGCGCTGAAGTTGGCGACAGAATCCAGTTTATTGGGAATGGGGTAGTACCGCTGCACTGCGATTGTCATTTCACCCATGCCTAGGGATGTATTGTGAAAGTTGTCGGTAAAGGTACCGCCGGCTGGGTAGTGATGGTTCCGAAGCATGACAGTGGTGCTGTTGAAATGGAGGTCTTCGGGGTCAACGGCTTGCTGCCAGGTTTGCAGGCTAGGCATGCTGTGGTATCCGAATTCGTTGGCGAAGCGACCTACTGGGTAGACATGGGAGTTGAAGGAGACACTGCTGTCATAGTTGTAGAAGTCGGTGTCGCCGTAGTAGGATCCAGGTGTGGTATTGTGATACCGTTCCACCATGGGCACGGGAGCAGACAAGTCGACGTCGAGATAGCCTTCCGTTGTGCTACTAGGACTGTATGTGATGGACCGAGTGTTTTGGTAAACCAGGGGCAGAATGAGACTGATATACAGCTTTTCATATTCCCCAACATACTTCGCGTGCTCCTCAGGAGCCTTGCTTTCGACCGTTGGAAGCATCAGTGACTCAATCTCGTTTCCACCTGCCCATAATGCCAGCGAAGGGTGGTGGTTGACACGACGAACGTTGTACACAACTTCGGCGGCGACGTTCTCCAAAAATGCATCATCGACCGGATACAAGGCGTCGCTAAATTCAAACTCGCTCCATAAAAGAATGCCTCGTTCATCAGCTAAATCGTAGATGAAATCGTGGAGATATATGCCAGATGACCAAACACGCAGCATATTCTGGTTTCCAGCAACAACCGCATCGAACAATCGGGCCATTCTTGCCTCTGTAACCCGTGGCCAAAAAGCATCTGGAGGTATGATGTTGGAGCCTTTGGCGTAGAATTCGTGTCCATTGACTTCAAAATGCCAGTTGGCACCAGGGGCAATGCCTTGAGCAAGCTGGGCATCTGTGATATTTCGTTGATTGAGGAAAATCGTGCGAAATCCTGTTCTCTTGGTGACATGGGTCAAGGTTTGATTTTGATGACCAGTAACAGTCACAGTTATGTTATAGAGATTTTGGTCACCAAGCCCCAGTGGCCACCAGAGCTTCGGAGTCACTCCACCAAGGACTGCAACACCGGTAACAGAATTTCCAGACACAGTCACGTTGTCTATCCGCTTTGATGTGAGGATCTCACCGGACTTAGTATCTTTGAATTCAATAGACATAGATGGATTAGGTGGAAGAGAGCCAACAAAGTCAATGCTGGCATTCACAACCCATGGCTGGCTTTGGTCGGGAGGAAGATGGTTGATCTGTCCTTTCCGATAGATGTCCAAGTCTGTATTCAAGACGTGGATATTTTGCGCATTTGGTAGTTGAACGATATAAGCAGGCTTCCAAGGTCCTGCGGGTGCAAATGCAGGACCCCAATCCCAGCCGAAATCCGACTGTTCCTTACGCATGAACCACCGGTTCGGATATTCATAAGTCTGCTGAATTCCATCGGGCCATACTAGGGGAGCAGGTTAGTACTGTGCAAAGGGCAGAGAGACACTCTTGGGGCCCAAACCTGGTGAGTTAGGGTCCTTGGCAATTGCATTCACGATATTTGGCGCACTACCAAAATTAATCTTCAAGACGGGATCCTCGTTGCAGCCCTTTAGAATCTGAGAGACATCGAAAGAATATTGGCGGTATTGGTTATTCGTTGAAGCGACGTATTTCCCACAGAACTCAACTGTCGCAAAAGTGTCAAGTCCATCAAAAACGAGCCAGGTAGACTCGGCGTCCTTTAGTCTATTGAAAATTAGATTGGTCAGAAAGCCCAAATAAACATGGCAGTTACTCACAAATCCTTAATATTATCAGTGGTGTAGGTCCAATTAGATTCCGGAATCCACCGTAGATTGAAATCATTGAGACCATGGTACCTGGGCCAGTCCAGTTAACGGAAGCAACTTTTGCCGACGAAGCTACGCCGTCACTTACGGGTCATCTGTGATGCATGTTAGATGTATGCATGGCATTTCAGATGAAATAAAGTAACTCACCAATAACACCGGCGTTCAGCAGGTCCAAATGGGCGTGGGATGGAAGACTTCCAGGTACGGTATGATTCAAACTTTCGCTACTGAGAGTCCACTTTTCATTACTCAGATCCCGGACATGCACGCCCAGCGCAGTAGGTATGCTAGATGCCACCAGGGCCGCGGCCTTCGCTGTGAACCGCATTGCGAGACTGCGGGGTCGCTACCAGGTTTGCTTTAGATCCTAGTTAAGAAGGATGACCATTTGAGGGGAAATAGGTCCGTTTTATACTTCGCTTAAGTATCATTTCAGTCAGTAGATTTCTACCGGCCGTCATGCAGGACCCCAATACCTCCTCCCACGATTCGGATCACGGCATAGAATAGACGGAAGCCAAACCGTGTTGAAAAAGGGAAAGTATCATGAGTGGGGGTTGGGGACAGAATGCTTGTATCCACAGTAGCACGATCGCTGCATGGAGTTCTTCCAATGAGATGCGGATAGGAAGGCTGCGGAGTCCCTCACTTGCGGCGGGGAAACTGATCGGCGGTCGAGGGATGCTTGGAGGTCGCCGTCGGAGACAAACGTCTCTTTTCTTCCCGGTCGGCTTGCATTTCTCAAGACATCCCAACAAGTTTCTCGTTGCCGGTGAGGCGATCGGATGATGAAATTGAATGGAATAGAACCCCGAAGCCGTCCGGAAACGGTTCAACCCGTTCAAGTAGTTCTCCGGAGTGGAGTCCAGTATAGATATATATTGGAGTCGAGACCAATTGTACAGGTGGAATCGATGGAAACTAGCTCATAATTCTCGTCCGGTTGAATACCCGTCCCCTTCTCAGAAATGAGATCCATAATCCTCTTTAAGCCAAAACCAGGCAATTCAACATGCAAGGAGCAAAGAAAGATGTATGACTGAATGTCATTCAAAATAAATATTTATGAGATCAGGTGACCACATCCAGGACAAACAAAACAAAATGAACAAACGGGGTCAAAGAAAAAAAAAAAAACCGATCGGCTAAACACGGTTCGGCATGACGTCCTGGGCCGAAGCCAACCGCTTCCTCCGCATTCCCCAGAAAGATGCCTTAAGATCAATGACCCCAGGAAATACCCCATATCCCTCTTCAACTGAGGTTCTCTCGACGATTGCCTTCTCAGACCATTCTCACAATGTCGGCACATCTTCTGAGGCGCATATCTCGCAATCCCAGGGCTTTGTCCAGGATTCCTCAACGATGGAGTAGTTCTATCTCTCAGCGGCCAGGCTCGGACCGGTATGTGAAGCTGATAAACATATCCCCTCTTTGCAAATATAGGGAATTGTGTACAAAGGGCAATCAGTGCTGATAGATAGATGCTTTCAGTGTCCGATTTCCTGGTGCCGTGAATAGTAAATTCACCACCGACATGACATTCATCAATCCCTCTGAAATGACCAATATCCCTACATACCGTGTCATGGATTCCGACGGTGTATTGCTGGACAAGAACCGGAAGCCCTCCGGAGTATCAAACGAAGAAATCTTAACATGGTACAAGAATATGTTGACTGGTGGGTTCTCTTAGCCTCTGCCTGCACCATGAATTGTTATTGACACCTCTTAGTGAGTGTGATGGACGTGATTATGTTCGAGGCTCAAAGACAGGGCCGCCTGAGCTTCTACATGGTATGTAGCTCCAGAGTTCAGTCCAATCAACAGACATATCGAACTAACGCTTTCTCTCCAAAGGTGTCTGCCGGAGAAGAAGGTATCAGTGTCGGATCGGCCGCCGCATTAACACCCGACGACGTGGTATTCGCACAGTATCGCGAAACAGGCGTCTTCCAGCAACGGGGTTTCACTTTGAAGGATTTCATGAGTCAGCTTTTCGCAAACTGCCATGACAACGGCAGGGGACGCAACATGCCGGTGCATTATGGTTCCAATTACCCTCGCATGGTGAGTATAGCAACCTTATACACCCTAATCTACCACATGAGACACACTCAGAATCCAAACTAACGTCCTCCAGCATACCATCTCCTCACCCCTTGCAACCCAGATCCCCCAAGCTTCTGGCGCAGCCTATGCCCTCAAACTAGAATCTCTCCAGAACCCCGACACCCCACCACGCATTGTGGCGTGCTACTTCGGCGAAGGTGCCGCCAGTGAAGGTGACTTCCACGCCGGCCTCAACATCGCCGCGACACGGTCATGTCCTGTGGTCTTCATTTGTCGCAATAACGGATATGCCATCTCCACACCCACACTGGAACAATACCGGGGTGACGGCATCGCCAGCCGAGGAGTAGGATATGGCATTGACACGATCCGTGTCGATGGAAATGATATCTTCGCCGTCTACGAAGCCATGCGCGAAGCACGACGCCTTGCGCTCTCCGATGGCGGAAAGCCGGTGCTTATTGAAGCAATGAGCTACCGTGTCTCGCATCACAGCACTAGTGACGATAGCTTCGCGTACCGTGCCCGGGTAGAGGTGGAAGACTGGAAACGGCGCGATAACCCCATAATCCGGCTGCGGAAGTGGCTTGAGAACGAAGGGTTGTGGGACGAAGATACGGAGCGTACTACGCGCGAGCAGCTTCGGAAGGAGGTGCTGAAGGAGTTTGGAGAGGCGGAGCGTGAGAAGAAGCCTCCTCTTCGGGAGGCCTTTGAGGGTGTATATGAGGAGTTGACGGAGGAAGCTCAGGAGCAGATGAAGGAGTTGAAGCGGATCCTTGAGACTTACCCTGAAGAATATGACCTTCGGCAGTTTAAGGATGGTATTAATGGGTTATAGATTGTCGGCGATCTGCTTGTGAGTACATAGATCAAGATATCCCGTATAGCAAAATTCGATCATGAAAAAGCATTCCGTTCCCTTTGTTCTATAGTGCTATCATACTATTGCCAACCTTGACTGAAGGCCTGACTAGGGTTAAGCGTAAGACCATGAGCAAAGAGAAGCATTAGGTAGCAGTGTATAATACACAAACGAATGTATGTCCATTGCTAATTGCAGAGCCGCAGAGTTGGACTTTAAAAACCCTATGTAACTTTCCCCGTTTCCTTGATTCCGGGATACAAAACAATGTCTTTTCAATGAGTGCGCCTTTTGAACCTTCTAACTCCAAGCATGTAAACACAACGCTCATGAGTTTGTACAGTAATGATACATAGTTTACAATTCCACAGGGAAATGCCCATATTCTTATTTTACAGATCCAAGCATAGCCTTGCCCAAGTTCACTGAAGGCAGCTCATCCCTCAACAGAAGTGGCCAAAGCCTGTTGTGCGAGCTTCTTGTTCCGCTTGACCAAAGCATTGAGTTTCTTGTCAATGGAATCAAGGTCTTTGCGTGATGACTCAAGCTCCTTCTGCGACTTGACAGCAAACGCACGAAGCTCCTCATCCGTCATTCCAACCACGTCATCCAGGTCTGGCATATTGCCCATGACGACACCTGCAGCTCCTAGCATGTGCTTGGCGGTGGCTGCCGCAAAAGACCGAACGGAGGTGGCAGTGGCGTTCACCAATTCAGCGGTATTGGCAATGGCCCAATTGTGACTGCGAGTGCTGTCCGCCTCCATGGCCGAGAGAACGTTCGGTGGTGTAGGAGTATCGGAAATAACCGCGCAGTCAGGTACAGTCATATCGCCAGAGGGCGATGCAGACGAAAGCCCTGTCGAGGTTTCATCCACCCAGCAGATATTAAAATTTTCGGGTGTAGCGAAAAGAGCATCAAGCCCACCACCACGGTTTGTCACGTCAGGTTCCGTGATTGATGTCGGCGGATACTCGGGGAAGGGATCAATGGCAGCACTGATGCGCCTCTCAAGCTCAAGATAACGTTCTTCTTCCTCAGGACCCAAATGGCGAAGAACACATCCGCGAGGAGTGATCAAACAGCGATATTTAGTCAAAGTAGAGTCAGAATTGATCCGAACTGGTTCTCCACGCAGTAATGTTTTGCGGTGATCTTCGGTTAACTCGACAGGCTGCTTTAAGAGTTCATAATCGTCTGCAGTGCACTTCATGTCCACACGTTGGGTCAGGTTAGGTGGGTTGAACAAGGGATGAGCATTGAGATCCAGACTGCCCGCCTTGTGGAGCTGGGCGAGCAGCATCGGCAGCGCAGAAGTTCGGTCCGAGAACAGCTCCTTGATTGGAACGCCAGCAGCTTCTGAATCCTTGATTAGCTGCTCAATGGTATTGTTGGAACGCCACGCTTCTGCTGCGCTCTTTTGTGCAGGGGTCTCCTTCTCTTCGACAGGGCCGGGCTTAGTATCCTTTGTAGCCTTGTCCTTCGATTTGTTCTTCTTCGTCTCAGCCCGCTGATCAGCCTTGTCAGTAATCTCTTTCCCACTAGTATTGGGCTTCGCAGCTTCGTTGGTATTGTCCGGCGTTGCGGTAGTTGACTCAGGATTGCTTGTCGGGGTCTTCTTGGTCTTGCGCTTCCTTCCGATGATAGGCGCCTGCACTGGCTCCTCGACCATAGAAGACACCGCCTCATGCTTCTTGGCTTCCATCTCCTTGGCCTTCTGTCTACGTTCTTTCTTGGCTTGGCTCTTAGTCATGGCACGTACAGGTGCAGAGCCAATCCTGGAAGACGCAGGAGGAGAGTTTGCACGGGAAACAGACGCAGAAGTGTAGAGATCAGCTTCCGATCCATAGTCACCAGGAGTATCAGGTCTGCTTATGGAAGATATGCTGGGTCTCCTCGATCGCCCCTTAGCCGCGGCGAGCTGGGATGAGATGGACTGAGTGGCCGAAGCAGGAGGGGGCGTCTCAGTCTTCGGAGTATCAACAACGCGAAGAACCCTGGGTTGACGTGGAACCGAGGAGTCAGAGACACGTGAAACTCCAGTCAATGGTGTATTTGGGCGAGAACCGATGGCAGACGCCGGGGCTGGGACTTGACTGCTAGCAGCTTGGGCCAATTGCTCGCCTTTTAAGGGAGTGCTATCTTGGGCGTGAGATGTACTGAGGGGGATATCCAGCTTCATAGCCTTCCCTTTTGCCGTTGTGGATACTGCCTTCTCTTCAGTGACACCCCCTGACTTGCTCGACTTATTATCAGGGGCAACTGTCAGGTCATCCTTGGTTTGTGAGCGAACTTTATTAGCTGATTTCGGCACTGGCGACCCCAAGGAAATTTCAGAAGCATTCTTAGCTCGGTTTGAAATGGCTACATTGTCTTGGGTATTTTTAACGTCCGGCGACTGTCGACCAGAGACAGTCTCCTGAAAGCTCTGGGAAGGCGTCCCAAGTCTATTGAAAGGAACATTCAGGCCAGGTGGAACAGAGACTGCAGAGACCGGGCTGGAAGGATTTAATGGGCTCTGAAATAATGCAGATGCAGGATGGGCATGAGGTAAGGGAAGACCTGGCGGCAATGTTGGAGTACCGGCGCGTGCGGAGCTTTGGGGTTCAGTAGGAAATTGGGATCGGCCTAGGAATCCAAAGCTGTCCACCGGACGCTTGTCCTTTGCGGTGGCACCGAGAGGAGGAAATTCCTCATCAACTAGTTCACATATGTTAGCATAAGATTGCAAACATGTGTGGATGGCAGATGGTCTGTTGGGACGCATGTATAGGCAGAGGGTCAAGACAAAAACAAAGGCATCAACAGAAGCAAAGAAGACACTAAGGCAATCCGGACACTAAGAAGGAACAAGCGGGCAGCAGGCTCTCCACGACACAAGAATAAGGCAAGCGATACGAAAGGGCAGGCAGCTTAATTACAAAAATGGCCCGGCCATGTTGACCAGGCAAATACATATGGTAAGGATCTCTATATGAACAATAATTGTGAGAGATTGGTTTCAAATAGAGGGCCCTTCTTCGTTATGACAAAGCCAGGGCAGGGAGGTTAACGTACATAAAATCATGACCAGACGGAATTGGCCACCAAGACGCTGATATATCAACCCAGCTTGGATGCAAAAAGAACAGACATACGATGTCCAGCCAGCCAATATGGGCCCAGACGACATGAAGTGTCTATGAAATGCGCCGAAGCCTCGCATCCATGGGAATATTGGAGGACAGGAACGATTATGAACGAAAAACAAAAAAACAAAGGTTGAATAAACATAACGCCAATGGTACGCCTAGCCCGAGAATCTTGTTCTTTTCAGAGCCGATTGCTTAATGCTTCGTTGCAGAGTGGAAATATGTCGCAAAGTTTGAACATGGAATCAAATATGAGAAAACTGAACAAAACGCATATCCTGCCCCCCATCTAGAGAAACATGATATCATGTCGTGAAGTTAAAGAGAAACACAATTCGCATAAAGGGGATGGAAAAGGGTAGTCATCATAATAACAGGGAAAAAAAAAAAGAGAAATGAGAACAGAGAATATTATAGGCCGGCGAACAACCATCACCAGCGGTTGAAGCCGCCTCCGTACATCATAGTGTGATTGTACCCACCTTGACCCTGACTCCCGTAAAGCGCTTGCCCAGCAGCAGCATTCGCACCCACCTGGTGCATCCTCGCCTGCAGGATACTCGGGTCCGCAAGATCTACTACACCGCCTCCACCGGAGGAAGTGTTAGCGTGTCTGTGCTTCTTCCCCTTCTTCTTCTGCTTCTGTGGCCCAGACTCGGAGAAGTTCCCCGTCTGAGAGCCATAGAAAGAGCTGAGAAGGCCATTGGCAGGAGTCAGGGGAGGGGGAGTTTGGTGCTGTTGGAGGAAAGGAAACATGAACTCACGCTTAGCGGCATCCGGTGCCTGTAAACCACTAGCATTTGTGCCACTACGGCTTCGCAGCAGCTCGCGCATCAAATCCGGGTTGGCCTCCTGCTTCCCAATATTACCAGCCAAGCCAAGATTCGAATTTGTTGTAAAACCGTGACCTTGAGCAAACATTCCTCCTCCACTAATGGGGGGTGTGCCGGCCGTCTTCAGGCCCGGAGGTGGGCCCTGAACGCCGCTGGTGTAGAAGCTGCTAGTAAGCCCATGTTGAGGACTGGGTGCAGCAAGCGGGTTTGGAGTCCCGGATTGCATCAAGGAAGCCTGCTGGCTTAGCATCCGCACGTTAGGAAGATTCTTCGATCCGGCATCATTGGTGAAGGAAAAGCGAGAGTTTTGGCGGTTCTGTGCCTGCAAAGCGTTAAGCTGTGCCATCTGGGTCTGCAGAAGGCCCTGGCGAACAGCAGCCTGATCCAAAGCGGCAGAGCCAAGTCCACTCTGCAATGGGTCCACAATGCCGGCCTGTTGATTGCTAGCAGATTTGAGTAGCATCAGTTGTTGCTGTTGAAGAGGGGTCAAACTCCGGCCAGCCAGATTCAGTCCCTGGAATTGATGACTCGACGCAGAAACTGGGGAGCCGACCACCGAGTTCGTTGTAGTACCCTGCTGTGAAGGCGGCTGGATAGCACCATGTGATTCCCGGGAACCACGACCTCTCGCAGGATGGGCATCATCCGGCTCGCCACCAAGCTGGAGGCTGCCGCTCTCCCTGGTTTCTTCTTCAACAGCTGCCGACTGAAGCAGCTCTTGCTCTCGCTTTGCACGTTCTTGTTCTGCTTTCTCCCGCATAGCACGACGCTTTACGCCACCGTAAGGATCAATAAATGAAGGATGATTCTCGATAAGAGCAACTTCATCTGCCGGCAGACCAGCCGCCGAAAAGACAAACTTGAAATCAGGAGAATTAACTGCCTTAATCAAATTTTCAAACAGAGGAGCTTCCGGGTCAACGGGCGGTTGGGATTCAGACGGAGAGCTAGGTGTCGAAGGCTGTGTCTCTGGCAGCGGAGTTTGGCGGCGTTCTTGAACAGGTGCAGGTTGCTTCTCGGCACGCCTCGGTTCCTCTGTGGTGGTCGCAACCGTGGCACTGGCGGGTCGTGGACTCTGAGACGCTTGACTAGCTGTAAGGCTTGCCCGTCTTGTGCGGTTGATCACCGAGTCCTTATTCGCCCAACTTGCCGAAGAAGGAAGGGCGGACCCATCAGGAGGGCGGCTGCTACTACCATCGTCTTTACTGGGCTGACGGCGCATCGGTTGCGACAGCGGCATTGCGGAAGAGCGGGCGACATGTGGGGGGATCGTATGACTGGGTCCACTAGGCGCACCATTCGGACGTTGACTGGAAAGGGTGTTCATAGAGGAAAGGTCCTGCCGACTATAGCTTTCGCTGTCCTCACCCGTCTCGTGTAGGAAGGTGCAATTCCTATTATGGCACTGCTCGTTGCGCAGGAAGGAGGAGCAATACTTTGTCGTACCATATTGAGCCCTAGGCAAGTCAATAATCGAGTTGTTCAGTAAGCAAGTAGTCGTAAAGCGGCGTACCTTAAGACACGATCACCGTTTACAGATCCATCCACCGAAGTAATACAAGTTGCGGCATCCGACTTCTTCGAGTACGTAACGTAGACGCCGATGCCTTGGTTGGGGTTGCCACCGGGCTTTGCCTTGCTGACGACGATCTTTTCGATCTCTCCATATTGGCCGAAATAATCCCGTCCACGAAGCGTCTGGAGGAGCTGGCTTTCGTCGCGTATGGTGGGGTTGAGGCCAATCACATAGACCAAGTTCTTCTGCACGACCCTCACACCAGCCAAGTTCTTCCGACTCGAAGCCTCGATCTCGCGCTTTTCCGCCTCCTTCTTCTTCGCAGCGGCAGCCTTTCGATGCTTTAATGCCAAGTCCGCTTTAAATCTAGTTTGCGGGATCCGGAGTTAGCGCCAAGAACTGCCGAAAAAGCAACGTCTCAAATCGCAAGGGACTTGCACTTACTCGTCTGCATCAGGAACCTTATACTGTATGGTGCTCTCATCGTAAACCCGTCTGCAGTTGGGACAGCGGCCTTCTTCACTGTGGGTTTTGATGTTATTGTAACAGAATTGGCAAATCTGGCCATTTTATGTCAGTGCCTTGCTAGGTCGCATACGGGGAGTCGCGAATGTCGTTTGGTGACAATCGTTATCAGTATGGCGGGAGAGCGGGGAGGTAACGTACCTGATACCCACAGGGACACGGCTTAAAGTTCTTGTCGGACAGGTCGAATTCCTCAATGCACAGGGGGCTACAGAGAAGCGTTACTGTCAGCCCAACCCATATTCATATTGCAGCCCAACAACGCAGAACGTACCAGAACTCGTCGTCATCATCAATGACAGAGTCGATCTGTTGGCGATTTGACATGGTTGCCGAATGTGTGTGTGTGTGTGTGTGTGTGTGTGTGTGTGTGGAAAGGTATAATCTAGAAAGACGATAGTCGGATTAAAAGACCAGTACTCATCAACCAACACGGGGCGGAACGAGGAAGAATATAATAGAAAAACGTATTAAGGTAGACCAAGAAACCCTCGGGGCGAGAGAAAAAGAAGAAGAGGACGGAGGATTGAGGGAATCTAAAGAGAGATCGACAACGTGGGGAGTAACAGACGCGGACCAGAACAGGGAGAAGAGGAGAGACTTGGAGGCGAAAGAGAAAGAGAAGTGAAGCTTTGGTTGGGTTTGCACCCGTTTGCTACGTTTGCAGGCCGCCCGAAAGAATGCGTGGCTTATGTCAGCGTTCACGTGATGCCTCACGTCCAACTTCGAGGAAAAGCTCCCTGGGAGTGGATGACGAGCATCTCCGCTGTCTCCCCTCCACCTCCCCGTTGCCTCTCACCCGCAATTGCCATCCACAATGGCCTCTGCTCGTTCCCTGATGCGGTTGGGCACCGGCCGCTCGCTGGCTTCGGCCGCGCGGTCGTCCCGGATGTGCCGTCCTTTCTCGACGACCCCTCTGCTGAAGGAGTCGATTCCCGAGCCTCCTAACATGCGCCAGGCTCAGCGTCCTCGTACGTGTGACTTCGGACGATAGCCTTACGCTGGGACGAATTGCAATTGACTGACTATTTACAGCTGAGGGTGCCCTCCGTGCCCCCGTCGTCAACCCTGCCGACAAGTACCAGGACAAGGCCGATGCTCTGCACCAGTACGGCCAGTACGTCATGTCCTGTTTGCCCAAATACGTCCAACAGTTCACCGTATGGAAGGATGAACTGGTCATCTACGTTCCCCCCTCCGGTGTTATCCCATTGATGAGCTTCCTCAAGTACCACACCGCCGCCGAATTCACCCAGATCTCCGATATCACGGCCGTCGACTTCCCCACGAAGGATCAGCGTTTTGAGGTTGTTTACAACATGCTAAGCGTCCGCCACAACTCCCGTATTCGTGTGAAGACCTACGCCGATGAGGCCACCCCGGTCCCTAGTGTCACTGGTCTGTTCGAGGGAGCTCTTTGGTACGAGCGTGAAGTGTACGATATGTTTGGCGTTTTCTTCACCGGCCACCCTGACCTGCGCCGTATCATGACCGACTACGGTTTCGACGGCCATCCTCTGCGCAAGGACTTCCCCTTGACCGGATACACTGAGCTCCGATATGACGAAGAGAAGAAGCGCATTGTCATTGAGCCTCTTGAGCTTACGCAGGCATTCCGGAACTTCGAGGGTGGTACTGCCGCCTGGGAGCCTGTTGGATCGGGTGTTGACAGAACTCCCGAGTCGGTACGTTGGTTGGAACTCGCAATGGACTTGCTTTTACTAACTAAATGGACTAGTTCAAGCTTCCTACCCCCAAGCCCGAGGAGAAGCCGGAGGAAAAGAAATAGAGCAGTGTATTCGTATTTCCTTTCCTGTTTGTATGTACATACGTCTACGAGTGAATTCAGTGCAATTGTTTGGTCAAGAAATTATCATGTAAGAAAGAGAAGAAAAGAGAAAAGAAAATTACCACTGAAATCGCATATAAAATCCAATTGACCCTCAAAAACGAAAATAGTTTAATGGATAGCTCCAGCCCCCTCATCCAATCAATGCACCCCGATTTATAAGATAAAAATAAAAGCACATAAGGCCACTAGTGAGAAAATCCTTGTTAAAAAAATAGAAGAAAAGTAACGGCATAAGTAGAGCAAAATCCACTTCTTGGCACGGGCATAAATCCGCATCATAAAAAAAAAGAAAAAGAAAAAAAAAGGAATATTCTAAGACCCCATCAACCTCACCACCCAAACTTAACAACCAGTAACACCAACCAACAATATCCTTACCCGCAAATAATCCAACACTTCACAAAACCAGAAAGGGAAAGAAAGGAAAGATAAGAAGAGCAACATCAAATAAACCAAAATGCCCAAACGCAAGCTCTCCGACGTGGACTCCGGTCCCAAGCGTACCTACAACGTGCAAACCATGCGCCTGACGCAAAAGTTCGAGCAAGGCGTCGTCCTCCTATCGCGCGCACTGAAGGTCGCCAAAGGCTTCGAGAGACAGAAATTATCGAGGAGAGAAAAAACTGCCAAGTCGCAGGGGAGCTCTGAAGCGTTGCAGAAAATTGCGGAGGAGATTGCTTTTATCAAGGTTTGTCTATTAGCCTATCCTTTCTTTTCTTTTATGTATTCTGGGCTTTACGCGCGGGATATACTGCTTAATGGGGTTGGTCGCATGCTAATTACTTTTGGTATGGTAGAGTCTTGATCCAACCGCGACAGCGCAAAAGTATCTTTTCAAACAGCTGTTCAAGACGAAACGGATTTCTGAGGCGCCTGCTTTTATCCAGTTTAAAGAATCGAAGAATATTTCTGCGGAAGGGCCACAGAGTACGGCCGAGGCGAATGTTACTGCGAGATTGTATAAGTCCAATCCCGTGAAGAATGTGTTTCCGAATATCATGACCGATATTAAAAAGCTACTGGGGGTGGAAGAAGTGGCTGGTGGTAAGAAGGAGAAGGGCAAGGAGACTGGATCAAAAGAAGGTGCACCTAAGACGAAGACGGAACAGCGGGCTGTGTCCGTGTCGGATAGTGAACCGGAAGATCCTAGAATAGCTGCGGCAGCTGCGGAATTCGATGAGGAAGGCGGGGAGGAGAGAGATGAAGGAGATGAAGGAGATCAAGTTATAAGCGATGTGGAGAGTATGGACTTTGCGCAATTTGATTCAAGGCTTGCGCCGGGCTCGGATGATGAGAATGAGGAAGGTGCAGATAGTGCAGCGAGTGATGACGATGATGATGATGGCTCCGATGGAGGTGTAAATCTAAAAGCGCCATCTGACATGTCTATCTCCCGGTCTCCATCACCAGACTCGCCGCCAGCTAAGAAACAGAAAGCCAAGAGCGGCACGACATCAAGTGCCCCGGCTACCAGTACAACATTCCTGCCTTCCCTAACCATGGGTGGATACTTTTCCGGGTCGGAGTCAGAACCAGAAGACATCGATGGACAGCAACCACGTCGGAAGAATCGAATGGGACAGCAGGCGCGTCGTGCCTTGTGGGAAAAGAAGTACGGTAGTGGAGCAAACCACGTAAAGCAGCAACGGGACCAGCAAAAGAGGAGTCGGGATAGTGGCTGGGATATGCGCCGCGGTGCAACAGATGGTTCTGAAGGCCCGAGGGGAAGGCGAGGTCAGGGACGAGGTGCAGCTGGGAGGTCTCAGCATGGTGGGGACCGTCCTCAGCGTGGTCCTCCTACACAAAGAAGAAAGCCCGAGGATGACAAGCCCCTGCATCCTTCCTGGGAGGCAGCTAAGCGGGCTAAGGAGCAGAAGGCTACGGCTGCATTCCAGGGTAAGAAGGTCACTTTCGATTAAATATATACCCGCCTAGATGCGTTGCGTGTCTAGTTTCAATACATTTCAAGCGTTTGAAGATTCTGCTTCAATGAACAAAAGCATTCGGCATATACTATCTAGGTATCTTGTACAAACTGTAGAGCATCGACTACTATCAATAGAAAATATTCAACGATTGCATCGCATATAAAATAACATCGCCACGCTTAATAAGACGAATAGTACTACCCCGTGCGCATCGTGAAGGGAAAAAAAAAAAAAAAAAAAATTTACCCAGGGCCATAGGCTAGATTTAATCAATCACTGGTAAATTGCATCCACTTGGTGTCCGGATTGTTGATGTCGCTAGAGAGGTTTTGCTGCGCATCGGGTTCAAAGCAGGGGATGGCGGTAAACTCGTCCAATTCTTGCGGGAAGTTGGACACAAAATGATCAAAACCAAAACGAGGCATTTGGGGTAACGAAGCCGCATGAGAGGCGGAATAGTCCGATAATGTGGTGATTTCTGTATGTGCGACGTCGCCTTCCATAGGGTCGTTGCCACCGGAAGTGCCAGTCATTGGAGTAACAGGGACAGGTGGAATGCTACTCCTTCCAGCCGGATATTGCTCTTGGAAAGGAACAAGCTCGGGCGACATTGGTCCAGTTTTCCAGAGCATTTCCCAATTCTTGAAGCGATCATATGCTGACTCCATGGACCCGGTATTGTCCGGTGCTTGTCTTTCGCTCCAATCTTCGAGGCGGCGAATGGCTCTCTCGAGGGTCTCAATCACACTAACAGCAGAGCGTGCAGATCCCACGCCCATTGACATAATCTTGATTAAAACCATACCCTTTTCAAGCGCTTCCCGTAACCGCTCGGTTCGTTTCGTCAAACTCTGTGCGAGGATAACAAGGAGAGCGGCACGGCAAGAGCTGAATTCAGTGAACGATGCCCGAGCAAGACCGGACTCATCGCGGAGTAGCTGGCAGAGATTAATGATTTCGAGGGCAGCTTCTACACAATCTGTGATAAGTGTCGACCTATTCTTTGAAACGCCTGATGGTGTCTTGAACGGTTGGGCTTGAGGAGTGGTTGCATTCAGTATCTTCATGCTGCTGAATAAGAATGGGCGCCCAAGGAAAATGCGAGTCAGGCAGTAGTCTAGTTTCAAGTGAACATTGGAGCGAAATAGTGGTCCTGAGGGGTTCAAATCTCGACAATTGGTCTCTTCTGGCAGTGTAGCCCACCAATCGACAAGGTTCTTCCGCAAATTGAGTAGTCGTTCAACGCAATCCTGCTGTTGACCCCTGCGAGATTTTCGCAAGGCAGATCTTTTCATGGCGTCAGCGAAGGTCTAAAGCAGAAAAGATAAAGTGGATACGCACATCTCGTTAGCGACTTCGCCAAGTTTAAGAGTTAAAGTGATCAAAGTCACCATATTGGTATGATTTGAGACCTGCCCTGTTGGGTTCAAGCCCGGAAAATCAACTGGCATTGCAGCATCCACATCCGAATCTGACAAAGATACGGGTCGCCCGTGAAGTATACTGACACGCCTAGAACAGAGTAAGTATGGATTTTAGGGTATAAGGCAGAGGATTGCTCACTTTTCAATGGTGTAAGCTGTCCAGAAAACTCGATTGCGGACCTCGATCATCCGAGGGGAGAGTCCTTCACCCTGGTACCTCCGGTGCATGCCATTTTGGATAGCCATTTTAAGGGCTAGACCGAAGTAAGTGTAGCAAAGGCCCGAGGTGTCGAGAGGTAACAGGTAAGTTCCGATCAATAAGCAAGCCTGTACGCTCCGAATGGAGACTGTTGCAAGGATATCCGGAACCAGCTTCGAAGCAAATTGATAAAAAGTCAAGCCGACTTCATCTTCCGAAAAGTGATGATCCTCCATAGATGATAGGTCGGCCGGCGGCCGATTGACGGGAATGGCCGATTCCATATGAGCAAACTGTGTCCCAACTGCCAGGATCATGAGTATCGAACATACGGAGCCGGCATCATTGGACGACAGGCTTGATGGGTTAGTATAACAAATGTTCAACTTCTCTCGTATCCAGTCTTCTTCCACATAGAAATTATTGGTCTGCGCGTGTTTGAAGAATATTTGAACGAGAAAATCGGCTACGAAACGTGGTGGCAGGCAAGTCACCGATGCCGACACTAAGGACGAGCCCGATTGGAGCTGTGTCGCACGCCATCGCTCTTCAAATGGGTCTGTTTCAGTAGACGCCTTCTGGAATTAGCAAGCAGTATGGCCAACGAAGGAGGGGTGGCTTTACCTCTGGTGCTGCCGTTTTCATCCATTCATCTATCTTCTGTCGAATTTTCATGGACAAGTTCAAATAGGAGAACTCTCCGGAATACTCTGCAGTCGCTCGAATCAGAAAATGAACCAGCACACGAAGCTGTGTCTAACAACCAAAAGTGGAAGTTCGGGCGATAGCACGCACGTGTTGTATTATCCGGTAAAGCCTTCACCATATAATCCTCATCGTCGATAGCCAAATCCTCGAAATCCTCTTCATCAAGGCGAATCGAAGGGCTTGCATCTGTGAAAGAATGGCGATGTCTATGTTTCAGCTCCTCGGCAGTTTTACGCAGGGACTGAATATCAAAAGAGATGTTCGGAACATAATGCTGAAGGATCCGTTCCATGTACCGAATTCGTTCCGAGTCCACCAGGTTCTGTCGACTGAGACCCGCATTCCGTTCGAGGAGACTAGATATACAACATACTATAAGTATTTCGAGCTAAGAGGCCAAGAACAAGGTGTAGGGGTCGTACGAGATCGACGAGGACCGAGCGACCTTCTCCGCATGGTCGGGGTGTGTGAATACGCATTGGCGGCGATAACGCAAACATCTGCGACAAGGTACTCCTCCTTCACATTTTTCCTTCACCCGGCGACATCCATCACAACTGGAAATCAGGATTGGCATGTTAGATATATATAGGTAACCCTGGGCGATTACTAGGATTAGAAGCCACGTGCGACAGCCACTTACGCTCGAACGGCTCGTTTGCGGTTTTCTTCGGAGACGCGGGGTCGTTTCTGCTGACCGAGTCCAGCTGGTGTCGGTAGACCACTGTCCATGATAAAAAGGTAGGGCAAGAGGTCAAGGGGGCCAGAATAAACGAGGGAGCATGGTAAGGATATACCAATAATAATAAGAGAGGGTCGGGGTGGAAGTTTAGGGTGCAGTGGCTGCCGGCACTATAGTCATGGGGGGAAGAAGGAGAAAAAGTACCCAAGCGTACGGTTTAGTTACTGACATAATTTTGCCTGATTGGAAGTTCGATTGAAATTTCCACTTTGATAAGCACGCGGGTACAATTACTCTGTCATTACACCGCCCCGCATGAGAGGATCACCGAATCTGGGGGACTTGGTATTGTATCCAATACCAACCAAGCCTAGTATTGAAATAAACCATTGTACGGAGTACTGTATGTACATATGTACGGAGTATATATTTCCATCTTTCTTCTTTATCTCGTACTAGGTATATTGCGATGTTTACTTCGGATACTGACTCCGTACAACTGAACGGCATCTTCTTAATATTTAGTCTTTTTCGAGGTACACTAGCACTCACATTACCCTCCAAATGACTCCTACCTAGAAACCATCGACCTCCATTCCCAATCCCTGTTCTTTACCAAGATCCAATAGGGTCTTTCCGATGGTGAGATCCATGATTCCCATGCCCACACATTTGAATACCACGTTATGCGTGTCTGAGACAGGGATCGGCTCGGATTTCCCGAGCTTCCCATACAGTTCTCCAATCTCAATCAACTGGTCTTCCTTTACGTGCGCATCGATCAGCTCGCCCGACTCTTCCAGGCATGCCTCCTTCGAGTCGACGTAGATCTGGTTCCCACCAGAAAAAAGAGTTTCCGTATCAATCTCTTTCATATGAGGCTTGTACGAACCAATGAGAGAGATAAATCGCTGCTTAAATGGCTGGAGGTAGGAATAGGGAAAATTAGGCTCCGTGGAAGGTGTACAGCTAAAGATAACGTCGCAGGCTGCTAATGCAGCTTGCAGTTGTTCCTGGTAGTCTGGCGTATCCTCTTTCGCGAGTGTTGTAAATGCAACACCAGGATGAGCGGATTGCAGCTCTGCAATAATATCTTTCATCTCTTCCAGCCTCTTACGGCCCCGGTTGATAAGCGTAATGCTGCGGACTTGGTCCGGGACCAGGAGAAGCGCAAGCCGCGCGTGCCACTCGGCCTGTCTTCCAGAGCCAAAGATTACAATGTTCTCCTTTTTCAGGGAATTGCAACGAACAAACAGGGTCATAACCGCAAGGGCAGTGCGAAAGGCAGTCACTTCGGTTGCGCTAAGCAAACCTAGCAATTTGCCCTCGGGAGAAAAGATGTTGATGACTGCGGTCAGGCCAAGTGCCTGAGAAAGGGTTACGATCTTGATCCCTGTGTTCGTAGTATTCGAAGTCGGCATGAAAAGCGACATGTTCTGGTCTTTGGTCATAATCGATGTACGGAGTGGTTGGTGGATGAGTCGCTCCGACTTCGGAGTTGTCGCCTGAGACGACACTGCCACCAGGGAGTCAGATAGAGCATTGAGAAGTGTATAACATTGTTCCCGATTCAGTTCTCTAAAAAAGCGAGCAACGGCTGGTTCTGGCAAAAGATACATTGTCGAGGTATATTTGCTGTATCGTTTGGTTCGGGCGGGGCAGAGATATGTTGAATCAGTTGATTACGCTATTATGAAGCCAACGGTAATGCAAGATTCATGTCAAACAATGCATGAGAGTAGTTTCCAGGTGGGTAAATGGACGCGCGGGGCTTTATCTGGACGATCAATTCCGCCGGGAAAATGGATTCTGCGGGGTGCTTAATTTCCCGGCGGAATCGACTTATGGGATTACACACTCTCTTACAATAGATGTGATATATGAACCAGTGGACAACAGATGAATCTAATTTCGTTATCATTCATTAATTCGCCGAACAAGAGTCGCTAACGCCATCTATATGCAATTCGCCCAACAACAGAGCGGGAGGGAATCAATCAAAATGCCAACAACATGCGAACCTGGGGATCACGCCAAAAAAAAAAAAAGAAAAAGAAAAAGAAAAGAAATGAAAGCTAAGAGTGATGGAGGAAAGGAAAGATGATCAGTTGCTGCGGCGGAACGCCAGGCGTGCCCTGCGCTTGAGCTCCTCAAACATCGCCTCCTGGGATTGCTTGGTGCGGCCAACAGCCTCGGTGTTCTCAATAGCGCGTCTCATCAGGAAGCCCATGCACTCCTTGACGGATCCCCAGGTCAAAAGCTTGAAGACATTGGGAGACTCCATAGAAGCACCCTTCATCACCTCAGCACTCTGGAAGCCTTGCAGAAGTTCGCAGCTGACCTCGTCAGCCATTCCCTGGAGCTGAGCATAGGACAGATCAACACCGTGGTTCTCTCCCTTCATCGCCTGCTCAGTACGGAGAGCATGTGCTTTGCGAACGGAGTCCCGGTTGTGGGTGGCGATGATAACGTTAACAGATGGCAGATCAGTCTGGTGCTTCTCAGACGCAGACTTCAGCATGGAGTTGTACTTGCGGGTCAGAAGTGCCTCCACAACACCGTCGTAGCACTTGTCCGTTTCCTCCTTGGTGGACCAGATCAAATGACGAGGCTCAGTCTTAAGGTACGCGCCACGAACCAGCTTGACACCAAGAGTGTAACCTTCCTGGCGGGACATTTCAAGGTGCTTGGCAAGGGTTGCCGGAGTGGAGCAGAGATAAGCCTGATAAGTGTTGTAGAAGATGGCACGGCCAGGAGTCTGAGAGTTGCAGTATTTCTGGTACTTCATGGTCCACTCTTCAATACCCGGCTGGACGGCCTGCTCCTCCGCATCCACGAGCAGGCGCACGTTCCGCGAGATAGCCAAATCGCAGACCTCTTGAATCGCACGGTCCATGAACTCGGTTGGTGCAGCCTGACGCTGCAGGACATCAAGCGCCTGAACACCCATGCCGGTGAATCTATATCAGTTAGCTTGCGTTCGGGTTCAATATAAAGAATCGAGACAAAGAACATACTTCAGGGCCACGAAGTCTCCCTCCTGCGCCATATCGACGGTCTGCAGAGTTCCATCCAGCCACATCTGGATTTCCTCGCGGGCTGCTTGCTCATCCTTCGGGTCCACATTGCTCTCTCCAACTAGGACCTCCTTGGCATATCCAAGCAGCACACCTCTGTATCCAAGACGCTTAATGTCTTCAATGGACCGTTGGACTTCAAGCTTATTTTCGCCTGCATTGAACTGCTTGTAGATGGTATGCTTGACGAGCATATTGAGCAGAGGGTTCTTGGCCACATCCAGAACAGCAGTCTTAGGATGCGCCAGCATCGACAGCGTCTTGATGCATGGCTTCAGGAGAAGTGAAGAAGATGACACGGATAGAATCACAAGGGAGCGCAAAACCGATGAGATGGGAAGCTTTGCCAAAGGGGAAGAATCCTGCTTGGGAGTCTGAGGTTCTTGTTGCCACACATTGTTCGTTGTTGTTGTTGTCGAAGTCGCCACCGATGACTTAGGGTTGCTGGTGCGGCTGACGTATCTGGGGGTCAGAACGGAGGAAGGGGTGCCCGCGAGAGGGCGCAAAGGACGGCGAGCTGCTTTCATTGTGGTGGTAGGTGTAGAGCTAGCTGTCTATTGTCGATGTGTGTGTGTGTGTGTGTGTGTTTGGACAAGTCAAGCAGACAGGATGATGGTTAAGTAGGGAATAAAAGTACGGAAATAAGAATAAGTACTTCCGGAGGAATCCACCGTAATTGAGGGGGGAAATTTTAGACCGGTAGCTTTCCATGACATTTTTTTGATCATAGTTAAAAAGTTATGATTAGAGATAGACGGGTAAAGGGGTTAGCCGGTGAAAACCGCAATTGCAGCCGGTCTGAAGAACAAAAAGATTGTTGGTTGGTAATGACTAAAGAATACCTGGCGTGTGACGTCCGCTTGGTGGCGCTGTTAGTGAATATTACACCCCAATACCGTCACGCGAAAGTTTTTCTTGCCCTGATCTACCCACATGCATCTACTGGATTGGTTAGTATGGGATCGACTAAGATCGACGACTAGTACTGTACAGACGACAGGGTATGTTCTAGTTACAGTGACCTTACTCAAATTTTACATTCCGCTTGAGGTCAGAGCCAATATCCGATATTGAGTTACGTAGGTTGACATATTCTGACGTAGTCGAATAGTTGCAGCTTACTATCTTCTACAGGGTACTTGTCTGGCCACGATGGTAATACTTACAGAATACAGGGTCATACTGCGTTATCAAGAATTTTCCATAGGTTCTTGATAAGAACAGCAGTGCCGAAGATGAACCATCAAAATGGGGCGAATTATCTTTAAGATCACCGACCGGTTCACGGGCCGGGAGGATATTCCCCACCGGAGGATAAACTGCTTGACCGGGCCGGTGAACTGTCCACTCACAGTCGCTGCCGATCCTTGCCGGTAAGCTAGCCCGACGCCAGCCGGTTTATCTGTTACCTAAGATCGTGGCCCTGCAGTTCAACCGACTGGAGGTTTCCTGTACTAGTACCAATCAAGTCTAGTAGCTCATTTAGTAGTCGACACTTGGACCACCTTGAACAAGATAAGCTGGTATATCATGCAACGCGGTTCCAATCATAGGCTTCAATGAGCCTCAAGCTTTTTAGATCAATCCCACTAAATGACAGGGGTTGTACGGCGAGGAAACATCAAACCCCTGCTCCGGAGTATGAACTATATGGTATTTGTCATATGATCTTCAAAATCTTCAGATCTTCCCAATGAATCAACACTAGAAGAGAATTGCTCATCCTGTATGATAGGCACACGCAACCGATGAAAGTGATTAATTAGTATTTGACAAATATGGTCTCCGTGTGCCCTTGACATCGGCATCATTTCCGCTGCGGATAAGCTGTAAACCTGGGGTAGTAAAGTTATCAGATACCCCACAAAGGTTACTTGTAAAATGCCCCTGCACCAGTGGCAACAGCCTTCTGGAAGATTCATTCCAATTTCCAGATGTAATATGGTATCGTGTTAAAAGTGATTGGTGATAACGACTGGGTGACCAGAAACGGGTACACTACCCATATTCCTTATTGCTTCTACTGTAGTTTGAATTAAACGAGATCTAGTTTAGGCAGCAAAGAGCTTGTGTTTGTTTGATTGTTTATTTTTCTGTCTTTGTATATTCTCCGATCAGAGTCAAGTGACTTACAAGCTCTACATCATGGGGAAGGACTTCCTATAATAGGTTCTCTACGTTCTGATCTTGCATCGACAGCTCGCAGAACAATGTGTTTATCTTCTGGGGGCTAGCAGATAAATCCCACCATGCAGCTTACGCGCGTTGAAATGCGACGTGGCTCACGTGTAAACATAACTTTACAGTTGATGAAAGCAGAAGATCTCTAAGTGCTACGTTGTATTCCTCGTTGGCATCATCCACCCCGGTGGTGTTGTCTTTATGCAGAGTGTTAATTTTCTATATTTCTATTTTTAATTTTTAATTTTTTTTTAAATTTTTTTTTTTTTTTTTTGCCTGCCTTAGATTTACTTGGTAGGCACTGGAGGATAAGGAGGATTGGCAATTCACCCAGGAATGCTGTGTTGGCATAGTACCATTTCATGAATGAGTTTGAATCATATATTCGATGTTGGTTGGACTGTGAATTCCACCATAGAGCTGTTATATTTACCCTTCATTCTTCGAATTTCTACCTCCCTGCTTGAGTTAACTCCATATGTATTGGGCCTTGATTGACGAGTCGCGCTGTACGTTTATTGTACATGAATACAAGGGTCCATTACCCACGTGAGCAATCGAGCTACGGAGCTACTAAACTTACGTCATAGACAACCCTAAAATGCGGGGAAGAAAAAAAAAAGTGAGAGAGAAAGAGATTCCATTAATGGTGAAGACACAAAACTATCTGAAATTCTTCTTGTGCAGCAATATGAATGATAATAAATTATCATAATAAAATTGTCATATCAACAATCAATACAGTAGAAACAATACATCCAATATAGGGAGTATTATGTACATTTTGTCCATCCTACATAAGAGAAATGCAATGCCGGGCCGGTCGGTTTCGTCCCACCCGGAATGTGTACCGGACCGTATCAGTACTTGCGGGAATGCTGAGGATGCGCAACCTTTCCGTGTACCGGTACGGGCAATATTGTATTAAGCAGAGAGAAAATTATAATAAAAAAAAAAAAAAAAAAAAAGGAAGAGAGAAAGAAAAAAAGGTAATTGCCGGTTAAAATAGCTGACTAACACCGCTACTAAATCCGAGAGCTTCCCCGCAGTACTTTTCTCCTCTTCTTCTTCTCCTCAGCTTTCAATCTCTACGCTTTTGCTTTGAGCTCATCAATCCTCTATACTAGGACGAGAGATTGATTAGAAGAGAACTATCACAATGCAGTCCTCGTTGCTTCTTCGTGCTAGGGGCCTTCCATTGGCCAAGTCCTCCTTCGCCCGCTCCAGCATCCGGGCGATGGGATCCTACGCCACCTTCAAAGTCCCCCGTATTGACAACGAACCCAACGTGAGCTTCGACTTCGTGCCCTTAGAATTACTTGTCTCGCGATACTGACCTCAGACAGAAACACTATGCCCCTGGTTCTCCCGATCGCAAGGGTCTCGAGGAAGCCCTGGCGAAGCACCAGCAGAATGCTCCCCTCAATGTTCCCTTGGTGATTGGTGGCAAGGAGGTTAGTTGTGAACTTGGAATGTATTTCACAAAATTAGCGTTAACCGATATCACAGATTAAGAGCTCCGAAACCTTCACACAAGCCAGCCCTGCTACTCATGCTCCTTTGGCCACATACTCTCATGCCACCGCCTCAGATGTCCAGGCCGCCATTGACGCCGCTCTTAAGGCCCGCGAGTCTTGGGCTTCCACTTCGTTTGCTGAACGTGCCAGCATCTTCCTCAAGGCGGCCGATTTGATTGCCACCAAGTACCGCTACGATATCATGGCCTTGACCATGCACGGTCAGGGCAAGAACGCCTGGCAGGCTGAGATCGACTCCGCCGCCGAGCTGTGCGACTTCTTCCGTTTCGGTGTCAAGTACGCTGAGGACCTGTACGCTTCGCAGCCCGTTCATAACGCCCCTGGCGTTTGGAAGTGAGTATCCTACCTGCAGGGTTTTTTTACAGTGGCTAACAGGAACCAGCCGTGTCGAGTACCGTGCCCTTGAGGGATTCGTCTATGCTATCAGTCCTTTCAACTTCACTGCCATTGGTGGCAATCTGGCTGGTGCCCCTGCTCTGATGGGTAACGTCGTTGTCTGGAAGCCCTCTCCTTCCGCCATTGCGTCCAACTGGCTCGTTCACGAGATCCTCCTGGAGGCTGGTCTCCCTAAGAATGTCATCCAGTTCGTCCCTGGTGACGCTGAGGAGGTTACCAACACAGTCCTCAACCACCCCGAGTTCGCTGCTCTTCACTTCACTGGTAGCACCAGCGTGTTCCGTAGCCTCTACGGCCAGATCGCCAACCGCGTTGCTGAGGGCAAGTACCGCAGCTACCCTCGCATTGTTGGTGAAACCGGCGGAAAGAACTTCCATCTCATTCACAAGTCGGCCGATATCCGCAACGCAGCCGTCCAGACCGTCCGTGGAGCCTTCGAATTCCAGGGACAGAAGTGCAGTGCTACTTCCCGCGCATACGTCGCCGCTTCCGTCGCCGATGAGTTCCTGGAGCAGGTTGCCGCCGAGACCAAGAAGCTCAAGGTCGGTGAGCCAACCGATTTCACCAACTTCTGCGGTCCTGTCATCCATGAGGCTTCTTTCAACAAGCTGGCGAAGGTGATCGACGAGGCCAAGAACGACCCTGAGCTCGAGCTCCTGGCCGGTGGTACCTACGACTCCTCCAAGGGCTGGTATATTCAGCCTACCGTCTACCGCACTTCCAACCCCGATCATCCTCTTCTGTCCCGTGAGCTCTTCGGCCCCGTCCTTGTCATCCACACCTACAACGACGCCACCGAGGCCGACTTCACCAAGATCTGCGAGAAGATCGACCAGACTGGCGAGTATGGTCTGACCGGAGCCGTGTTCGCGCAGGACCGCGAGGCCCTCCGCCAGGCAGATGACGCTCTCCGCAACACTGCTGGTAACTTCTACATCAACTGCAAGAGCACCGGTGCCGTTGTCGGCCAGCAGCCTTTCGGTGGTGCTCGTGCCAGTGGCACCAACGACAAGGCGGGCAGCGGAAACCTGCTCTCTCGTTTCGTCAGCTTGCGTTCCATGAAGGAGGAGTTCGTCCCCACCTATAACGTTGCCTACCCTAGCAACGCGTAAACTGCGTCATGAAAGTCTTTTTTTTTTTTTTTTGGTTAATGTATTCCCCGATCTGTATCTGGTTTGTTAATTTGGTGGGATTGTCTATTTCTGCATAGTATTTTGGCGTTCATATGAAAGCTTTCCGTGCGACAAAAGTTCGCTAGGCATTGTACGAAGGTATATACCACATCAGTCAATGAATTCCATCGGGTTTATCCCGTGCACAAACTATATCTCTCAAAATCTATATAGATCTACTCCGCAGACCTCTCCAAGAATCTCCGCATACTCTCCATAGCACTCCGCGCATACTCTCCCATCTCATACTCCTTTCCCTTCCCATCAGCCCCTCCATCAAATATCTCCATGGAGAACCAGCCCCGGAACCCCGTCTTCAGTACCGCTCTGGCGACCCTCTCAATAGGCAAATAACCCCCACCATACGGTCTAGGCCGATAATCATGACTCCACCGAGCCCTCGGCCAAGCCCCATCAACCATCTTCCCCTCAATTGGCCGAACAGGCTTATACGCATCTGACACCTGCAGCAGATAAATCTTCTCCGCCGGAACCGTGCTCGCCAATGCCTCCAGACTCTTCTCCAACCGTCGGTCCAATTCCTCAACGGGGAAGTCTTCAATTCTTCCTGTAGATGTCGTTGGATCGCCCCATTCAGACCCAGCGGTTTGGAACGTATCAAGACAGAGCCCGATATTAGGTCTATCGACTAGACGGACGAGCGTCCAGACGTCTTTCCACGTAGGCGCGTGCGTAGACCAGCACCAGTTTTCATACGCAAGACGCATGTTATGCGTTGCGAGTAGGTCGCAGAGCTCACGGAGATCGGTGATGATGTTATCTTGGGTTACAGAGAGTTTGTCGAGGGGTGTATCTGTTGAGCCGACCTTTTATCATCCCCATTAGTATTTTCAAACATACCCTTTCACACTCAAACCCCCGCATAAATCCATAATTGAATATAAGATTGGAGAGGAAATTACCTGAAGTAAATCCGTCCCCACAGCCCTCATAACCTCAATCCATCCCTTTGCTCTCGCAAACGCATCTTCCCTCTCCTTCGAACCCCGCGGCCAGCCCTCGAAGTTCGCGAACGGTTGCAACATCATCACCTTTAAGTTCTTGGCTTCGCATTGTTTGCGGATATCTTTTGCGACGGTGACGAGCTCGGAGTAATTATCTTCTGCGACTTCGTGGCCGAGGAGGGCTTGGGAGTAGGAGACGATGTCCGGGAAGGCGAGCTCGATTCCTGTGAAGCCGGCTTGGTGGAGGGCTTCGAGCTTACGGGGGAGGCTGTCGGATTCGGATGCGCCTATTGAGCAGGTGGCGTAGGAGAGGGGGATTTTGTTTATATCGGTGGTCATTTTTGTTTCGTTTCTTTTTGGGTGGGCTATACTAGTAGTTATGGGTATTGGTTTGATGGGTGGATAATGTGATTGTTAGGGTTGTTAGGATTGCTGGGAATATAAGTTTGGAATTATGGTTATTGTGTTTGGGAGTAACATCTGCAGTCTAATGCTTAGTATAATAGCTAAATGTGGTCAAATTCATAGCAGTTCGACGATCTTGTTTCCAATGTTGAGCATATGATGTAATGATGAAGAGTCAAGACCAGTTAGGGTTCGGAGATCCACTTAACTCCATCTCGGAGGTTTGAAATTAAAATAAAAGTACAAAAGATAAAGGACAATCGTTCATCGTGACGTCCCAGGTGACATGATGTAATCACAGCGTCTTGTTCCTAGACTCAATTGAAGTATCTTTTATTGCCACAATGCTACTCAAGTAGGCGTGGAATTCAGCGCTGATCTCCAACACTAGATTTAATTCTCCAGATGATCGTTTTCTTTCCAGTGTCGTGAAGCGTGACAATGTCGTCAAAAGATCAGAACCAACAGTTCAAGCGCATTGGCATCGTTGGAGCCGGGAATATGGGCTCCATGATGGCCTTTGCCTTTTCGGAACTAGGTCTTGACGTTTCTATTTGGGATGTCAAAAAGGAGAATGTTGATCAGCTCTTGGAATCGGCTAAGGATATTAAAGGTCAAGGAAAGATAGAAGGGTTTGAAGAGATTGGTGAATTCACCAAGAGCTTAGAGGGTCAGGGAGAGCGGAAACTGTTTATTTTCTCCATCACTCATGGCAATCCCGCGGACTCCGTTTTAAGTCAGATCAAGCATGCATTGAAGAAAGGCGACATTATCCTCGACGGTGGAAATGAGAACTACCGGCGCACGGAAAGGAGGCAGAAGGAGTGCGAAGAAATTGGCGTTAGTTGGATTGGAACGGGTGTTTCCGGTGGATACCAATCCGCGCGCCGTGGACCGAGCTTGTCTCCTGGGGGTGACGAGAAGACGCTGGAGCTTGTACTACCTCTTTTGGAGCGCTATGCGGCCAAGGACCGCAAGACGGGTCGTCCGTGTGTGGCCAGAGTTGGCCCGGCGGGCTCGGGGCATTTTGTTAAGATGGTACACAATGGGATCGAGGGTGGCATGCTTTCAGCGGTCGCCGAGGCTTGGTCTATTCTCCATTACGGGCTAGGGCTTAAATACGATGAGATCGGAGACATCTTTGATGAATGGAATCAGAAGGGCGAACTCCGGAATAACTTCCTCCTCGAGATTGGAGCCGACGTATGCCACCGAAGGAAATCCCCTGAAGGAGACGGCAAAGGCGAAGGAATCGGCGACAAGAACGAATACGTTCTTGATGATGTTCTCGACAAAGTTGTACAAGATGATGACGACACGGAAGGCACCCCCTACTGGTGTGTTATGGAGACGGCCAATCGTCATGTTTCTGCGCCAACCATTGCAACCGGTCATTACATGCGCATCGCCAGTGGTAACCGTGCAGAACGGCTGCGGGTGGCGGACAAACTGCAGATGCCAAAGCCCAAGTCCATCGAAGGCATCAAGGATCGGCGGGTTTTTATTGAAGATCTGCGGCGAGCAGTCTACTGTTCCTTCCTATCTTCCTTTTGCCAGGGTCTCGAACTGATTGCACGCGCTTCTGATGACGAAGGATGGAATATTGACCTTAGCAAATGTCTCCAGATCTGGCGTGGCGGTTGTATTATCCAGTCGGAAGCTATTGCCGACCTTCTACAGCCGTTACTCAAAAAGAATGTGCACTATACAAATCTGAAAGACATCGATGAAGTCGCTTATGAATTGAAGCAAAACTTCAACTCTCTTAAACGGATTGTGATTGACTCGACAGTGTTCGATCACTATATCCCGGCGATTTCCGCAACCTTGGAATACCTGAAATATGCGGGTGGGACGATGCTACCAACAAAATTCATGGAAGCCCAGATGGACTTATTCGGTGCTCATGCATATTACAAGCCAGGAGTGTCCGGTGAGGATCCAGGGCCGGTCAAGAAGGGGCCTCATCACTATGAGTGGCGGCCAGCTTAAAGTCTGTGTATAG